CTGCCCACTGCACTTTAGTCATTGATCCTGGGGGCTGCTGGAAGGGTCACTTTTCCTCCCCCAGCTGGTGACTCTAACTGTGAGAATTCAGGACCAACTCCATCTTGCAACAAAATCCTGATTTACACAGCCATTCTTGCTTCCAAGGGGTTCTAATAAGCACCTGGCCCACCATGTCTGAATGTCCAAACTTAGTTCAACCACTACCAATGGGTGGGCCTTGGGGATCCATTTCCGCCTTCTGTTGAGATACTCTTTAACAAATGAAGGCCAGCCAGATGCTCCTCTGAGCAGTGAGACTGTCCACTCAGAAATGGAGGCATTGGCCAGACATGTGGCTCATGCTTGTAACCCCAGCACTTTGGGAGGCCAAGGTGGGCAGATCACTTGAGGTCACGAGTTCGAGACCAGCCTGGCCAACATGGTGAAACCGTGTTTCTACTAAAAATACAAAAAATTAGCCAGGCATGGTGGTGGGCACCTGTATTCCCAGCTACTCAAGAGGCTGAGGTGGGATAATCACTTGAATTCAGGAGGTGGAGGTTGCAGTGAGCAGAGATTGTGCCACTGCACTCCAGCCCAGGTGACGGTGCAAGACTCCAACTCAAACAAACAAACAAAAAATACAAGAAGCCATTCTTTGCTGGGACCACACCTGAAGTCCCAAACATTACAAAGAAAAGACACGGCCCCGGTTTCCCACTCCTCATTTCTGCCTATTTGTATATTTCCTCATTTCCTTGCAGTAACATTTGGGACCATCCTACCCATAGACACAGAGACCCTGGCTTGGTTCCTGAATTCCTAGGGTCTGATTAGCCCAGTCTCGCAGAGCTGGATGGGCTAGCAGGGTCCAGTGTGGGTGAGGACACTCTTCAGGAGAAGGATAGGGGCCCACCTCTCTGTGACATGGGACTGAGAGGAGGTGGTTTCTTACTGCCCGGAGCCCCAGTCCCAGCCCACTATTTTTGCCAGTCCCAGCTCACTATCTTTGCCAGTCCCAGCTCACTATCTTTGGGGCTCTGGGTACCAAATTAGTTGTATGTGACCAGGAAGACAAGAAATTCTTATATTAAAACTATGAATTCAAAGACAGGCATGGTGGCTCATGCCTGTAATCCTAACACTTTGGGAAGTTGAGGTGGGTGGATCACATGAGGTCTGGAGTTCGAGACTGGCCTGGCCAACATGATAAAACCCTGTCTCTACTAAAAATACAAAAAATTAGCCAGGCATGGTGGTAGTCACCTGTAGTCCCAGCTACTTGGGAGGCTGAGGTAAAATAATCACTTGAACCCAGGAGGCAAAGGTTGCAGTGAGCCAAGATTGTGCCACTGCACTCCAGCCTGGGTGACAGACTGAGACACCATCTCAAAAAAAAAAAAAAAAAAAAAAAAGGATTCAGCTGGGCCTAGTGGCTCATGCTTGTAATCTTTACACTTTGGGGGGGCTGTCCTAACTACCCAGGAGGCTGAGGTGGGAGGATTACCTGACCCCAGTAAGTCAAGGCCACGGTGAGCTGTGACTGTGCCACTGCACTCCAGTATGGGTGACTGAGTGAGATTCAGTCTCACAATAAAGTAAAATAAAAATAAAAAACCATGAATTCAATTTTGAAAATTGCTACAAGATTTTAAAAATTATGTTTCATATTGAGTGTTTTTTGGTAGTTTGTAGTTTTCAAGGAATTGGTCCATTTCATCCAACTTGTTGGATTTATACGGGTAGAGTTGCTTAGTATTCCCTTACTGTCCTTTTACTATTTTTTTGTTTTGTTTTGTTTTTTGAGATGGAGTCTTGCTCTGTCACCCAGGCTAGAGTGCAATGGCACAATCTTAGCTCACTGCAACCTCTGTCTCCCTTGTTCAAGCGATTCTACTGCCTTGGCCTCTAGAGTACCTGGGATTACAGGTGCCTGCCACCACGCCTGGCTAATTTGTTTTTTCTTTTGAGACAGAATCTTGCTCTGTCACCCAGTCTGGAGTGCAGTGACCCGATCTCAGCTCACTGCAACCTCCACCTCCTGGATTCAAGCGATTCTCCTGCCTCAGCCTTCTTAGTAGCTGGGACTACAGGCGCCCACGACCATGCCCAGCTAATTTTTTGTATTTTTAGTAGAGACAGGGTTTCGCTGTGTTAGCCAGGATTGTCTTGATCTCCTGACCTCGTGATCCACCCCCCTTGGCCTCCCGAAGTGCTTGGAATACAGGCATGAGCCACCATGCCTGGCCTAATTTTTGTATTTGTAGTAGAGATGGGGGTATCACCACGTTGCCCTGGTCTTGAACCCCTGACCTCAGGTGATCCACCTGCCTCCGCCTCCCAAAGTGCCAGGATTACAGGCATGAGCCACTACACCTGGCCTTGTTTTGTTTTGTTTTATGGTTGTGAGACGGAGTTTTGCTCTTGTCACCCCAGGCTGAAGTGCCTGGCACGATCTCAGCTCACTGCAACCTCCCCCTCCCAAGTTCAAGTGATTCTATTACCTGAGCCTCCTGAGTAGCTGGGATTACAGGCATGAGCCACCAAGAATATGGAACACAACACAAATTTGAGTGTCATCTTTGTGCAGGGGCCATGCTAACCTTCTCTATATCTTTCCAATTTTAGCATATGTGCTACCGAAGCGAGCACAAGTTTTGTATTTCTTGTAGAGACAGGGTCTTGCCATGTCACCCAGGTTGGTGGCAAACTCCTGAATTGAAATGATTTGACCACCTCAGCCTCCCAGAGTGCTGGGATTACAGGCTTGAGCCACAACACCAAGCCTCAAATGGAAATTTTAAAACAAAAATATAATAACAAAAATTTAAAACTCACTAGATGGACTCAATTAACAATATGAAGGTGAAGAAGAGTCAGTAGACAAACGTGGATTGATAGAAAGAACTCAAACTGGCCAGTCACGGTGGCTCACACCTGCAATCCCAGCACTTTGGGAGGCCGAGTTGGGTAGATCATTTGAGGTCACAAGTTCAAGATCAGCCTGGCCAACATGGCAAAGCCCCATCTCTACTAAAAATACAAAATTAGCTGGGCATGGTGGCATATGCCTGTGATCCCAGCCACTCGGGAGGCTGAGGTGGGAGAATTGCTTCAACCCGGGAGGCAGAGGTTGCAGTGAGCTGAGATTGCGCCATTGCACTCCAGCCTGGGCAACAAGAGCAAAACTCCATCTCACACACATACACAAAGTATCAAAACTGAGGCCAGGCATGGTGGCTCACATCTGTAATCCCAGCACTTTGGGAAGCCGAGGTGGGTGGATCACCTGAGGTCATGAGTTTGAGACCAGCCTGGCCAACATGGTGAAAACCCATGTCTACTAAAAATACAAAAATTAGCTAGGCTTGGTGTTAAGTGCTTGTAATTCCAGCTACTTGGGAGGCTGAGGCAAGAGAATCGAGTGCACCTGGGAGGCAGAGGTTGCAGTGAGCCGGGATCGTGCCACTGCGTTACAGCTGAAATGACAGAACAAGACTACGTCTCAGGGAAAAAAAAAAAAAAATTCAATGGTATTACTTGGTGTGTTTCTGTTTCTTTCACGGAAATTTATCCAAAGAAAGAGAAAGGATATTTCAGTTTTCTCTGAAAAGCTGATTTTGAAGCCCTAGATCTTATACATAATTTCCTTATGATTCTCTAGAGTTGTAAAAACAGAAGCACAATGTTATTGTTAAAAGGTTTTTTCCTAGGGCTATTTTTGGACTGGACAGAAATAGCAGAATAGTTTGTGTTTTGTGTGGACTTCAGAGTGCACTGAAGGCTATAAAATAACCAATCTTGTTAGACATCTGTATCCAAAGTCATAGGACTCCAACCATAATATAACCCTTGTATATTACTAAAGACTACCCTACTGTTATGTTTTTGCCTTTTTTTTTTTTTTTTTTTTTTTTGAGATGGAGTTTTGCTCTTGTTGCCCAGGCTGGAGTGCAGTAGAATGATCTTGTCTCACTGCAACCTCCACCTTCCAATTGCAAGTGATTTTCCTGCCTCAGCCTTCTGAGTAGCTGGGATTATAGGCACACGCCACCATGCCCAGCTAATTTTTGTATTTTTAGTAGAGACAAGGTTTCACTATGTTGGTCAGGCTGGTCTTGAAGTCCTGACCTCAGGTGATCCACCTGCCTTGGCCTCCCAAAGTGTTGGGATTACAGGCGTGAGCCACCGCATCTGGCCATATTTTGCTTTTATGATGTATTCATTAGAATTAGACTTTGTTTGATGCTGCTTCAGGATATGAGTAATTATTAAAAGAAAATGTGACTTTTTAACAAAGCAGTCCGGGAATACATTGTAGAGAAAATAGATGACTGCTTAAAATATGGCTATTGTTAAAATGTTGTCTATATTAAGGAACCTTCGTGAGATCCCCGACATCATTATGAACACAACCTTTTGTGATTATGTTACACGATTTTCCTTTCATCTTTTTTCAATTTGTCTAAGTGCTTGGCCATAAGACACAACTGACCACACTTAACCACTCTTGAAGACATTTTTAAATCTCTAAATGAATACTAAGTCCAACATATCTATCTCGTTTTTACCACAAGCATTTTGAAAAGTCAGAGTAGGCCAGGTGCGGTGGCTCATACCTGTAATCTCAGCACTTTGGGGGGCCGAGGCAGGTGGATCAGCTGAGGTCGGGAGTTCGAGACTAGCCTGGACAACATGGTGAAACCCTGACTCTATGAAAAATACAAAAATTAGCTGGGCATGGTGGCAGGTGCCTATAATCCCAGTTACTCGGGAGGCTGAGGCAGGAGAATCACCTGAACAATCCAGGAGGCAGAGTTTGCAGTGAGCTGAGATCTCACCATTGCACTCCAGCCTGGGTGACAGAGCAAGACTCTGTCTCTAAATAAAAATTTAAAAGAAAAAAAGGAAAAGAAAAATCTGATTAATGGGGCAAATCTATATGTGTTCTTAGAAAAAATGCTTTTCAGGGCTGGGCATGGTGGCGCTCACCCGTAATCCCAACACTTTGGGAGGCTGAGGTGGGTGGATCACCTGAAGTCAGGAGTTCAAGATCAGACTGACCAACGTGGAGAAACCCCATCTCTACTAAAAATACAAAATTAGCTGGGCATGGTGGCGCATGCCTATAATCCCAGCTACTAGGGAGGGCTGAGGCAAGAGAATCGCTTGAACCCAGGAGGCAGATGTTGCAGTGAACTGAGATCACACCATTGTACTCCAGCCTGGGCAAAAAGAGTGAAACTCTGTCTCAAAAGAAAAAGAAAAAATGCTTTTCAAATTTTTGCATTTCTGACAACTGGATGTCCCCACTTGCCAAGCAGTCCTGTGACCCCCACTCAGGAACTGACTCAGCCCAAGAGGACAGTTTTAATTCCTATGATTTCATCTCCTGCACCCAACCAATCAGCAGGCCCCATCCCCAGCCCCTTGCCCACAACACTATCTTGGAAAAATTCCTAATCTCCAAGCCGTTAGCCAGATTGATCTGAGTAATAACTCCATCTCCCATGTGGCATAGCTGGCTTCCCAACAATGAAACTCTTTAATGCCATGGTCTTCAGTGGATTTTGTGTGGGGGTCAGGAAGAACCCCTTGGGCCATTACAAATATGGGGACATTGTAGAGGACCATTTTAGGGACCCCATCCTATTGAGTGCCAGGAATACAGAAAAAAATCATGATTCCATTTACATGTTTTAGAAGTGCGAGAAACTCCAAATATGATATGGCCAAGTTGTGCAACAGAATTCAGAATTTATTCAATATTACAGTGTTTATATCACAGAGAACATCTTTGTCATTTACATAGGCAATTTTCCCTGGGGCTCACATGCTGTTGAACACTGTAATGTTTATTTTGGAGAGAATCAGTGGAAATGGGGGAGGCATCGTCAACATTCCAATGCAGCATCAGCGAATTCACATGCAACAAAGATTCTATCAATGCAGAAATGTACAAGAGCTTTTGGGAAAGTACAGTTCATTCAACATCAGAGAATTCACAATGGAAGAAAATTGTATGTGTGTAATGGATGTAAAAATGCTTTGAGATGGTGCCCAGAGCTAATCAGACATCTGGGATTTTGTAGCAGACAGGGACCTTGTGAGCATAATGTATGAGGAAGAACCTTCCATCAGAGTTCCATACTTAGATGATATCAGCTAATTCGGGTGGGACTTAAAATGGTCATACGTAATGAAGATGGAAAACTCGGGGAAGCGTAGGGAATACGGAATGTGAGAGCATCCACACTGGAGAGAAGTCTTAGCAGTACAATGAGTGTGGAAATTCACTTGGGGACAAGCTTAGCTTTCTCATCATTGGAGAATTCACACAAAGAAACGAAGGAGCTTCGACGGATCATGGCAGAACTTTCAGGCACTAATCAGACTAATTCATCTCAGAGAAAAACCTTGATGATGAAAAAGGGGAAAAGGTCTTCCAGTTTTTTTCCTGACTGGATTTCAAAGAATACTCAGTGACATATAGGGAAACTTGCTGGAGAAATTCAGGGTTTACTAAGATTCACATTAAAGCATTAATCCCACTAAAGTAGGGGTTTAAACTTTTTTGTTTCTTTAACCCCAATCAAAGCTTTCATTTCTTACGTCTCTGTTGAGGGAATGAAGAAACAGGCAAGAATCAATGGTGCACTGGCTTTGCCTTTCAAAACACCACACAACACGTGGCGTGGAGAAGGACGGCATTGAGAGGTGCTGGGTTTGGTGCCAGAATCTGGCAGTTGCAAATTCTAGTGTCATCACAACACACTCATGGGTGGACCCCATACAGCTGATGAACTTCCAGGGCCGCATCTCTACAAATGCTGAAGATGATTTGGAGATGGGAAAATGCAGCGGGGGTGCTTTTCCTCCAGGTCTGAGTAAAATGAAATAATGTGTATTTCTAAGATACATTAGGAGAATGTCAGTTTCTCTTTGTTTTATATTTTCAAAACTAGAGATTTAAAGAGGACGGGCTAGAGCTCTTGCGTTCAGCTTCTTAATCCATAAGGGAAGAATCAGGCATATTCACACACACACACACACACACACACGTTGTTTGGCAAAAGTCAGACCAGAAGAAAGCTTTCTTTAGTCTTCATCAACTGATTGCTTTTCTCCTACCAACCTCGTTCCTTGGCCTTGAACCAGCATTCTAAGTCTTCCAATACATCCTTGTCTCTCCCTACAGTAACTCTCCCATTGAGTTCTGTTTTTGTTTTTTGAGAAGGATTCTCACTCAGTAGCCAGGTTGGAGTGCAGTGGCACAATCTCGGCTCACTACAACTTCTGCCTCCCAGGTTCAAGCAATTCTCCTGCCTCAGCCTCCCAAGTAGCTGGGACTACAGGCACATACCAACACACCAGGCTAATTTTTTTATTTTTAGTAGAGACAGGGTTTCAGTATGTTGGCCAGCCTGGTCTCGAACTCCTGACCTTGTGATCTACTTGCCTCAGCCTCCCAAAGTGCTGGGATTACAGGCATGAGCCATCATACCTGGCCCACTAAGTTCTTAATAGAAATGAGTTAGGTTTTGTAGATTTTTGGCTCCCAGCTTTGCTTAGAGAAGCCAGAAAGAGGTGCAGTGTCTCATGCCTATAATCCCAACACTTTGGGAGGCCAAGGCGGGTGGATTACGAGGTCA